TTTTGTTTCTTATTAATAGAGCAAATACTTATTTTGTTATAAAACAGATGTTTTTTTTAGTTTTATGTACAATTCTTATATTTAGGCATTATTAATTTGTTCTTTATTTGTAGTGAAAATACTTATTTTGTTTGTTATAAGACACAGATTTTTTTTAGTTTCATGCACAAATTAGTGCTAATTTTTTTATAAAACATTAAAGTTTTATTTTCAAATATTTTTTTAATTTCACATTTAGACCATTAAAATAAGTCGCAATTAAAACTACCAAGCTTTATGGATATAAATGTTAATTTTGGTGGTGTGTCATAATTAAAACTATTGTTATAAAAAAATCAAATTCCAAAAAATGTATACATATTTTCCAATGAAAGCATTATGTGTATTGAGTAGGTAAGTAAGATGAAGAAATCTATGCCCCAAATACCCGAATGCACTGTATATTTTATTATTTTTGCGTTAATTTGACATTTCCTATAAAGTTTTTTTGAGCACTTTTATTTAATTAAAATATAATTTAAATTCGTTATACATAAAAATAGAGTTTGTGAATTGAATGCCTGCAAAAAATCAGGGTCAGGTCATTTCAACTATATACCGAGTCCATCTAAAAATTTCGAATTGCCTCATTTCAGGTAAAATTTAAGTTGTAATCTTGAATTTTTGGGGGTGAGGCAGTGCATCGAGGCAAGAAATTTCACATACTTTTCATATATAGGTAACCCTCGGGGGGAGTAGATGTCGATTACAAAATTTAGCGCGGGGAAGGGGGGGAAGACTCTCTCTAGTAGTAATTGCTCGGAGTCAAAAACTGTTTTAAAGAAAAGCTTCAAATTTTGTTTATAGATAAGGTTCCTTTCTGAATCAAAACCAGTTATTCTTCCGGTGAGTTATAAGGCGAGCAGTTTTAAAAAAATAATTTATTTTTAAAAGCAGATTTCGACTAAAATTGATATCTGAGAATTTTAGAAGTCAAAGATAATAGATACCAAATAAGTTTGAAAAAAATTCAAAATGGCGTTAAAAGGAATCGTATTTAATCAAAAAAGGTCCGTCTTGAATGTAAGTAAGCGTCCTTTTGGTTTGTGTAACTAGACCACTTCAATAATGGTGAAAAAGGGTTTTCACGATTTTCCTCTTGATCTGACCCGAACTCTTCCTTCGTGTTCTTTGTCACGTTCTTTACAATTTTCAATTTTGAGGGAAGTTCTGAGTAAAATACTTTACACCGACTTTTGATTTTCTAAGCCCATTGGTAGTTTTCAAGAAATTGCAATTCTTGAAAATTAAAAGTCTGATGACCTTGACTTGCAATCTACCACCTTTATAGAAGGAATTAATCTTAAATCAACACGATAAAACTTAATTTACCTTTTTAACGAAATCGATAAACTATTAGTAACCGCTAAAATTCTAACGACTTTGTAACACATGCATGCTATTTTCTCTTTCGTTGAATAATAAAAAAACTACAAAGCTGTTAACGAATTTCATACCTACGTTGAATATAAATCAGTCGGTGATTTAATAATAGGGGTTTCGCCCTTGTCCTTGAATTTCTAATTAGACAACTAATAAAATTTGTAAGTAGGTAGATACAGTTTTGTTGATATAGAATTGATTTTTAAGTTTGGTTTGAATTCGTTAGGTTTGAAATATTAATAATTAATAAATAGAATATCAATTATTAGAATGGGCGGTTGCAGGATACTGTATCTCAGAAACTATGCCTATACTCGGACAAAATATTGGAGAAGGTGAGACATATGCATGATCAACACTGTTGTCTATGAATGAAAATTCCGACAGAGTTAGCATAGGCGGCGTATCAAATACCAAATAATTATTTATTAGGTATTAGGTATTAGGTATTAGATATTAGATATTAGGTATTAGATATTAGGTATTAGGTATTAGGTATTAGGTATTAGGTATTAGGTATTAGGTATTAGGTATTAGGTATTAGGTATTAGGTATTAGGTATTAGGTATTAGGTATTAGGTATTAGGTATTAGGTATTAGGTATTAGGTATTAGGTATTAGGTATTAGGTATTAGGTATTAGGTATTAGGTATTAGGTATTAGGTATTAGGTATTATGTATTAGGTATTAGGTATTATGTAGTATGTATTAGGTATTAGGTATTATGTATTAGGTATTAGGTATTAGGTATTAGGTATTAGGTATTAGGTATTAGGTATTAGGTATTAGGTATTAGGTATTAAGTATTAGGTATTAGGTATTAGGTATTAGGTATTAGGTATTAGGTATTAGGTATTAGGTATTAGGTATTAGGTATTAGGTATTAGGTATTAGGTATTAGGTATTAGGTATTAGGTATTAGGTATTAGGTATTAGGTATTAGGTATTAGGTATTAGGTATTAGGTATTAGGTATTAGGTATTAGGTATTAGGTATTAGATATTAGGTAGTAAACTTTATTAAATTTGTTTGTCAACATATTTTTTTAAACAAATATGATGCGTTAAATATACGTTTTTGATAGTTTTCAAGAAACGAATATATTTATTCCCTAATGACTTCGTTATCTGTGTTTAATGGTTTTAAAATGTGTTTCAAGTAAATAAACGACAGACGGGTTACAGATTGAATATTTTCAGCACAGGCACAAAGACAGTTGAAAACTAACTTTCGACGAAGTTAGATTTGTATCGCTTTAACTATTTACGATAATTATTTTATATTTTATAAACACTTTTTTGTATAAGTGCTCTTTTCTGATATACGAGTAGGTGTTCATGTTTGTGCCTTACAATTTGGTAGTAGTAGTGCATATTCGAGGAGTTATATTTAATGTGTAGTATATTAGGTAGGTACTTTAAAAGTTTATTAAATAGTAAAATATTGGTGTCTATAAATTTAATAAAAACAATTTAATAGTAGAATTATATTGTTACAATATTAATGGATTCAGAGGCGGGTCCAAGTGAAACCTAATTACGAAAGCCCTTATCAAAGGATGAAAAGAACATTATATGGAAAGTGTATGATGGGCTGAAACAGACACTTCCTACAAATGAAGCTGTAAACCGCAGTTCTCTTTTAACTGGAGTATCTGTTTCAACAATTGAACGTATTGTACGCGAAAAGACAAAAAAGACTCTTTAGAAGCCCCTAAAACGCATACTAGAAATTGTTGAAATTGGACGATAACCAAAAACAAATAAGTCGAAGAACTGTACATTCCTTTTTTTTCTAAAACAAATTCCCAATACTTAAAGTTGTTCTTACGAAATTAAGAGAAAACGAAGAAATTCCATTAATGAGCCGTGAAACTGGGGCCTAAAATTTCGTTTTGACAAACGGTGTGGGAAATCAATTTTAATTGAGAGGTCAGATATAGTGTCCTGGCGACGGGGTTATTTACGAAATATTAAAGAGTTTAGAGCCGCAAAAAAAAAGATATACTATCTCGATGAAACGTGGGTGAATGCTGCACGCACGGTATCTAAGATATGGCAAGATACTTCTGTAACTAGTCATCGCCAGCTTTTATAGAGAGATTATCTACAGGTTTAAAAGCACCATCAGGTAAAGGACAGCGCCTAATTGTTACCCATATCGGAAGTGACAGTGGATTTTTGGAAAATATCGCTCTTGTGTTTATATCGAAAAAAACAGGAGACTACCACGAGGACATGAATGCGGAATGCTTTGAAAAATGGTTTACTGAAATATTACAGCATGTAGAACGAAATTCAGTTATTGTACTAGATAACGCTTCTTATCACAGTCGACGAGTTGAACGCATTCTAATAATGTCCAGTAGGAAAGCGGATAAAGCAATAACATTTACTGAGGAGATGCTTAAAGTGGAATGAATGGACCTAATAAAGGAACACCGCCATAAATATATTCAATATGTTGTCGACACAATGGCTCGTGATCGTGGTATTACGGTACTAAGACTTCCCCCTTACACTGCGAATTCAATCCTATTGAACTAATTTGGGCGCAAGTGAAAGGGTTTGTAGCTCGAGAAAATAAAACTTTTAAAATAGCCGACGTTCAAAGTTTATTAAAAACCGGTATATAACGTATAAAGCCTGAAGATTGACAGAATGCTATTTCCCATGTAATTAAGGAAGAAAATAATATGTAGCGCTTGGACGGTATGATCGAAACTTTAGTCATAATTTTAAGTTCCGATGATAAAGACGATTCCAGTGATATTTCTGCAGAATCAATGGATTACGAAACTTCATACATTTAGAATTCAAGCAAGTGATACCAAGCTTAATTTACATATTTTTATAATAAACAAAATACAATTATAAACATAGATGAATTATTATAACAAAAATAGATAACCAACCTACTTTCATCTAGTAATATTCACAAATACCCATTTAATTTGCCAATATAGTATTTCTGCGACACTGGAAGAGTGCATTTTGATATGATAACGATACCTTTTGCAGTTTTAAGGCGTACCTTCCTCAATATTTTGTTCTAGTATAATACCCCATTTAATTTTCTACGTTTTCTACGCCACTGGCATAATATTTACATATTTTAACAATAAACAAAACAAAATTATGAACATAAATTATTATTACTACAAAAATAGATAACCAACCTACTTTCTTATAATATTATTTACTCTTACCGCATTTAATTTGTCAATAGTTTTTATACGCCACTGGCGCCACATGCATTTATGACTAGTTGGCACGTGACACCGATAACTTCTGCAGTTTTAAGCGCGTGATTCCATTCATTATGCTCTGGTATAGTATTATTGTTGTGCGTGAACAGGGAGGAATCACCTTCTTCAATATTTTGTCCGAGTATAGTAGAATTTTGAGAGAAACATATTCATGATAAATGGGGAGCGTTTATTCAAAATCAGACATGTCCACATGAAGCAGTTTCGAGAAAAACACGTAAAAAATTGTTTAGTCGTATATAAAATTATCCAAATTATGAGATGTTATAGAGATGAAGAAAATAATTATCAGTTTAAGTTTTCAACTTACCCAGTACCATCAGACTCTTGTTTATATTATTAGCTTCTTCCAACGTCTTCCCTTCGCTTTGTGTTTTTTTAGTCATCTCGCTGCCAGCTAAATCCACAAAATTAATTTTTCCTGAACGAGATATGAACACGCCATCTTCAGCCGGTTGCTCAGAAGTTATATTGACACTCAGTATAGTGTGGCTACGACTACAAAAGAAACAGTTATCATTCAACATAAAAATAATAAATAAAAACCGACTCCAAAAATGAGAACGAGATACTTTTTTTCATGGATCCCATCATTATCCCTTAATAACATTTATATGGGACCAGTGGCGTAGCCAGCCATTTTTCATGGGAGGGATTTTTGAGAACTATGGGAGGTTCCATCAAGAAAGAAAATAAAAACAGTCAATAGCGATCAACGCCAATACAATAGCAGAAATGGTGACGCAAGGACACTCCATGGGGAGGATTCTGACCCCCCAAAGCCCCCAGTGGCTACGCCACTGTATAGGACCACCCCTGAAGTAGCCCCTTTTGCATACAGGAAAATTGTACATCTTAAACTTAGTAATTAATTAAATTAAAAATTGTTAATTAGCAAGTAATATAAATAATAGTACAGGTAGTAATTTAAGTAAAATTGAAAATTTCCAGAATCGTCGAAACATTTGAAAAATACTATATGAAAATTAAATAAAAAATTGGAAAATAAAATTTGAAAGCAAACCCGATCAAGGGCAGCTCCAAGATGAATTTTCGGGGAGGGGGAGGCATTGCTTTTAGCCATTCCCTTTTTAGTATTTTTTTTTTAATAAAAATCCCATAAATCGTAAGAATATTCACCCAGGGGGGCGGGATATGGCCCGTATGCCCCCCTGGAGCCGCCCTTGAACCAGATACAATTTGATGTATTCATAGAAATGGATTGAAACGAGGGTAATTTTAATAAAATTAGTGAATTTTGAATTTGAAATGGAGACATTTTATAAATATTCGTAAAAATAGTAATTTCATAGAAAAGAATAGGAAAATAGTGCAGGGTAATTTTAATTAAATAAGAAATCCCCAGAATTATCAAGAAATGGTACAGGAAGGCTTGATATAAAATTGGAAAATAGAAAGGTGTTTCATATGATATATAATTCGAAAAATTTCAATATATTCATAATTATTAAGGGTATGTTTAATATTATTGGTGAATTTTTGAAACATTTAAACTTGAAATAAAGTAAAATTTAAAATAAGACAAACTTATAAAAAAAAGATAATTTTATTAAATTTGAAAATTCTCAGAATTAAGAAAATAGGGAACATTTTTGTATACTTCATTGAATTTTTCTAGATATTAAAAAAGTTTGGAAATTTTATTATTAAAAATTCAAAAATAGTCCGGGAAAATTAGTCTAAATTTTTAAATTAGCCAGTTTGTCATAAAAATGGGAAAATTTAAGAAATAGTAGAAATAAATATTTCAAAAATCAGAAATCGGACAACGTGGCAAAGAGTAAAGCTGGGCGATTATCAAAATAAATAATCGAGTATTTTCGATCACCCGATTAATCGGAATAATCAATTAATCGAAATAAGTGAAATAATCGTTTAATCGAAATAGCCGATTAATAAAAATAATCTACTAATAGAAATAATCGATTAATCTAAATAATTAATCGATTAATCAAAAATAATTGATTGATCGAAAATGATCGATTAATGGAAAATAATCGCATAATTGAAAATAATCGATTAATCGAAAATAATCAATTATTGATTAAATAAATTAATCGCTTATTTTGTCCACTCCTATTTAAGAATATGCGGAACAATAATCGAAATAATCGAAATAATCGATTTATCGAATAATTGAAATAATCGATTATTTGAAATATTCGAACTAATCGATTAATCGAAATAATCTATTAATCGAAAACGATCGAATAATAGAAAATAATTAATTATCGATTAAAAAAAAATAGATTATTTTGCAAAGAATTAATGAGGAACATTAATCGAAATAATCAATTAATCGAAATAATCCAAATAATCGATTAATCGAAATAATCGATTATTCGAAATGCTAGATTAAACAAAATAATCGATTAATCTAAATAATTAATCGAAAATAATCGAAAAATAGAAAATAACTGATTAATCGAAAAAGATTGATTAATTGAAAATAATCTATTAATTCCAAATTAATCGACTAATCGAAAATAATCAATTATCGATTAAAAAAAATTAATTGATTATTTTGCCCACATCTAATAAAGAATTAATGCGGAACATTAATCGAAATAATCAATTAATCGAAATAATCCAAATAATCGATTGATCGAAACAATTGATTAATCGAAATAATTAATCGAAATAATCGATTAATCAAAATAATCGGATAATTGAAATATTAGATTAATCAAAATAATCGATTAATCTAAATAATTAATCTATTAATCTCAATAATTAATCGATTCATTTAAAATAATCGAAAAATAGAAAATAATGATCAAATAATTGAAAATAATCGATTAATAGAAAATAATTGAATAATTGAAAATAATCGATTAATCGAAAATAATCAATTATCGACTTTAAAAAAATGAATCGATTATTTTGTCCACCCTAGTGAGTAATTAATGCAAAACATAAATCTAAATAATCGAAATAATCGATTAATCGAAATAACTAATTAATCGAAATAAACGACTAATCGAAGTAGTCGATTAATCGAAATAATCGATATATCCGATTAATTAAAATAATCGATTAATCTAAATAATCGAAAAAAAATCGAACAATGGAAAATAATTAATTTATTGAAAATGATCGAATAATTAAAAATAATCGATCATTTGAAAATAATCGACTAATCGAAAATTATCAATTAAAAAAAATTCCATCGATTACTTTGCCCACTCCTAGCAAAGAATTAATGTGGAACATTAATCGAAATAATTGATTAATCGAAATAATCCAAATAATCGAAATAATCGATTAATCGAAATGTTACATTAATCAAAATAATCGAATAATCTATATAATTAAACGATTAATCGAAAAATAGAAAATAATTGATTGAAGGAAAATAATCAATTATCGATTAAAAAAAAATTAATTGATTATTTTGCCCACCCCTAGCAAAGAATTAATGCGGACCATTAATCGAAATAATCGATTAATCAAAATATTCCAAACAATCGATTAATCGAAATAATCGATTAATCGAAATGTTAGATTAATCAAAATAATCGATTAATTTATATAATTAAACGATTAATCGAAAAATATAAAATAATTGATTAATCGAAAATAATCAATTATCGATTTAAAAAAAATCGATTATTTTACCCACCCCTAGTAAAGAATTAATGCGGAACATTAATCGAAATAATCCAAATAATCGAATAATCTAAATAATTAATCGATTAATCGAAAATAATCAAAAAATAGAAAATATTGATCGATTAATTGAAAATAATCGAATAATTGTAAATAATCGAATAATTGAAAATAATCGAATAATCGATTATTTTGCCCACCTCTAGTAAATAATTAACGCAAAACATTAATCGAAATAATCGATTAATCGAAATAATCGAATAATAGAAATAATCGATTAATGGAAATAACGAAATATTCGAGATAATCGAAAAAATCGAATTATCGAAAGATTCGAATAATCGAAAAACAGGAAATAAATGATTAATCGAAAACAATGAATTATCGATTTAAAAAAAATTAATCGATTATTTTGCCCATCCCTAGTAAAGAATGAATGCGGAACATGCATCAAAAAAATAGAAAACCTCTTTTTTTAAGTAATTTAAAAATAATTTGTAAAATAAATACCTGGAATAATCGTTCATGTTGTGCCTTCCCACTGATCTATTTCTCATTCCCTCTTCCAATACCGCCAACAAATCATCAAATTCCTCGCAGTCTACGGAAAATAGATTTTCTACGAAAAAACCTCTGGCTTTTTTGCTCCATCTCACCGCCAATGGTTTCCGAGCGCTACCAGGATTTAACAAATCGATTACCTTAGAAACAAAACAAAATTTTAATAAAAAAAATAAACCTTTGCATGTCTCAAATTAGATAAAAATGAAATACAACTTTAGAGAAGAATGAAAGATTCAAAGCAATAATGAAAGTAAAGAAAATGTTTAAGGGTAAATTTTTACGTTTTACGTTGCCCTTGTTCATTATTTTCCAAATTACAGTATTGTCCTATTACATAGCAGTCGATATTGAAAGGACCTTCTCTATATCTAAACATATTTTTACATATAAAAGATAACATTTTTAATATTTAATTTCTAAAAACATTAATCTCCATAGCATGCTAAGAAAACGCAATTTATTTTTTAAAAAATTATATAATGTGTTGCCGACATTTGGGGGCATCACTTTTTTGATTCAAATTGTGTCTCTCTAATGCTAAAAGTTTTTATGTTTTTCAGTTGGCTAAATTTATGTAAATAGACCAAATAATGTTGTACGTAGATAAAAATTTGATTGCAATTTGATTAAACTAAGAAATTTAAGTTTTCTTATCAAAACGCACGTGTATATTATAAGATATCATTACGTGCATGTTGTTGTTAAATGTCATTTACAAGGAATGTTGACAGTGCGATTATTAACGTTTACTGACATGGGCGTAGAAAAATTTAGTTTATTGTAAGCAAATTTCTAAAATATGCAGATTGATTTTTACCTAATAATTTATTTCAACAAAACTAATTCTTACTTTTTCGTTGTAGATTTCCAAAAAGCTAGCTTTAAGAACAAAATGTACTTCGGGTTGTTCTTGAATCAGTTGAAAAAGGTACATAAAAGATCTGAACACCAAACCGTGCTTGTCGCTATACGGAGCCGTCTTAAGACCAAACTAAAAATAATAAATCAGATAAGTAATCAATATTCGGAGATATGTAATAAATTTTCTTACAAGACCCGGAGGACCGGTAAGCGTATGCGTTTTCCCGCTTCCCGTTTGCCCGTAACAAAAGCAGGTACATCTGAATCCTTCGACTGCCATTTCGATGAGGCGTTTCATACCGGAAAATTGTAGAACGTCTTCTTGAGTAGCGGCGGGTTCGAAAACCACGTTGTAGGAGAAAAGTTTCGGTTTCTGACCACCGCTGGGTCCTCCTGGTATGCCGTCAACCTACAGATTGGGAAACAATTAGAATTTTTTTGTAATTATCTGGTATACTTGAAGAAATCGATATAGTGTGAGATGAAACTATCTGCAATATGACTGAAAAAGGTGGCAACTGGCAACAAATGGGAAATTTATTTATTTTACAAAAAAAGTTAATAAAAATGTCCAACCTTGCATATAAATCAATATTCTACTCTATATTTAACTTAAACGCAAGTAACTCGCAAACACAACTAGCCCCACGACTACAGTATGATACGCACATGCCCGACTGTTATTGGCCAGCATAGGGATACCGTTTTGAATGTTTCCCACATCCCCAACTAGCCATTCATAAAAGTGTATTTGTTGTGAAGTTCTCATCATCATCTATTGTATAGTCCAGGAGACAGTGACGATTTTCGGTATTTATTTTCCCAGTCAGCAAGCACGAATAGAGAATTGTAGGATTAGCAATTCTAAGCAAAATTCATATATATTTAGAGGGGGGATCCGATGGACTGAGGCCGAAAATGCGTCAAAATATACGAGAACACGGCCCTTTTTTTCCATTGATAAAAATAGTTTTAGTAGTAAGAGATGTTAAGTAAAAAAATAGTCTGATTAATCTGTATGGACAATATATTTGGCAAGTGCATAAAATACACTTTCAAACGAGTTATGTACACAATTATTTCTACGACCACAATTATTTAAAGAATGTTCCAGGTGTTTTGTATATTAAAGTGTACGCATAGGACACATAAATAAAATCTTATATCACAATGTTTCACCTAACCAGTTGGTTTATTTATAGAAATTAAACATAATAATTGAAGATATTACAGAAGAAAATAGGGAAATAAATTACATTTCCTTTTACACTTTTATATAATAATTGTTTTATTTAGAATTCACGAATCACATTAATTATAATTATTGTTAGTTTCGTTATGTCAAATCATTTATACTAGAGGTGTGAGGAAAATACAGTGAACTGTGGAACGCCAATATCGTTGAATGCGCGTGGTAGAAATGGTTCTATAATACTGCTAAAAACATAGCTAAATTTTCATGGAAACACTGTACTTTTGACATTTGCGATACTCCGACGCATATGCATTATTGATGTAATCTCATGATTTTACAGTAATAGTTTTTACAATTTTAGTGTGATTTTTAGTTTATTATGGTTATTCATTTTATTTGGTTCTGATCTTTTGCGCTTTTAGAGTATTTGTCTTTTATATAGTTTTTAATTTGAATTTTAATATTGTGGTCTATTTATATTTGATTGCTGCTTTTCGACTAGTGCTTTATTCTTTTTGTGTTAAAATAAGCTTTATAAATATTAAGTACATGCTTCTAGTTGATATCTACCTAATCGGCATCGGGTGCTTGCAACAATGGGAAAAAGTGTATGGTTTTTTTGGTGTAAAGTTAGACGCCTTCATTTTTCAGGTAAGTTATTTGTAGTTATTTTTTACTTAAAAGAATAGCAATACGTCCTGGTTCAGAGTGTAACTTTTGGGTTTTAGCTATCTGAGCCAAATTGTCGGCTAAGTGTCCTCTGTTAGGGCACCCAGAACCGTAAACTATATAGGTATATAATATGTTTTTTTTTAAAATTATTTTTTAATATGTATGCAGCTTGGATGAGGGCTTTAGGAAGAGATCCTAAGACTGAACATTGACTGCTATAAATGCCGTTTTTAGAGCACATTTCATAGTAAGTGATTTCATTCTAGCAGCAATGAAGAAACGTTTAAAAAACATGCTGTACCAGCTATTACTTTAAGACCTCGTCTCTTTAAGTTATTATTACTTCATTCTAATGCATATATTAAAATGGTTTTTAACTTATGTCCTTATGATTAAAAGATGTAGGTATTTTAATTATGTTATAATAGAAATATATGATACTTTGTATTGACTGACCTACTGGCCACTGGTCATTCCACTTTTACTCCCTTTTTTTCATAAATTATCAAATTATTTAAAAACAAATACATACCTAGCTATTTTCTGTAAATTACATTAAAATTTTAGTATTAATACTTTACTAATAAAACTTCAGTTAATTTATATTATATATATACACAACGGAAGAGTTAATTGGATTTTCCCCTTGTTGAGTTTCAAAAATAGTAATTTATCATGATTTAAAAACAAATACATGAAATGGGCAAAATAGGCATGCAAAGGCACTTTGTAAACAATCTCACTTGTATCGATGTGACGTAATGCGCGAATTCAACCTGGCTTACTTTTGTTAATAGATTGGCGTTCCATTTTAAATATACAGTTCACCGGGAATAGATTATTTAAATATACACGGACCGGGAAAACAAGTACGAACAAATTCACAACAGTAATTGAAGCAAACGCAATAACATTACTACAGTTAAAAACATCGCAAACTTGGCATCAATATTTTAATTTTATCCAAATATTGCATTTCTGTCGAGGATCATCCGCGTTTACTTCAGAAATTGTGTAATCTGTATTGGTTATATATATATCTACAGTTAAAAGCACGTAAACTTGGCATCAATGTTCAATCCGATTATTGAGTTTCTACCGCGGACACCACCGTTCATTCTTCAAAAATTTTGTAAATAATCCTATCTGTCTTGGTTATATATCTATGGTTATTGGCCAGCGTAGTGATACCGTTTTGAATGTTTCCCTACCTTCTAGCTCAACGTGCTGTGATCATGGGCTAGCAGTGTTGCCAGGTCTACTGATTTATCAGTAGATCTACTAATTTGGCTATTTGGCTATTTGTCTACTGATATACTAGGTCTTTTCCTTTGCATCGAAAGTGTAGCACTGAGCTACGTCACTTCTAAAAATATCGTTCCATCCATACAATTTGTATATATGGAACGATATTTTTAGAATTGGTGTAGCCCTGTGCTACACTTTCGATGCAAAGGAAAAGACCTACTGATACTAATATGAATTATACTCAAAAAAGGCCCTTTTATTATTATTTTTTATTAAAAAGTGGGCGATATTTCACGTTACAGTTATTTTGTCACAGTTATAACAGTGACTTTGAAGTTGTGACATGACAACAATTTTACTACTGGAAACCATAAAAATCTATAAAAAATATTCGAGTTAAATTATAAATCGGGAGTAGTGACATTATACCCTTATGTAGGGGATACTATTTTATGCTTAACACCTTACTAATCGAAGCCATAAGAGATAAACGACCATTTTGCAAGCAATAATGTCACTGTAATAACCGGGAAGCCTAAAGACCACCACTTGTCACTAAATGTAACAACCAACTAGCATAAAGACCATTTGTAACTACTGATAGGTCTTTACCCAGCAAACATTTTGGTGTAATTTGACGTCGATACTACCTAAATTATATATAATAAATTTGGTCGCAAAATTAGATTTAACCATAATTAAGTAAAATTTACGTTGGCTCGACGTGGATTCGACATAAGTGGAGAATAAGACGACGTCGAAATTTGGTTTTATTTACCAAAACAGGTAGAATTACATCTTAATCCACATTGTAGTAGCCCAGTACGTTTGGTTATTAATACATCTCTAGGGAAATTTGACGTCAGTATAACGTTAATTCGACGTTGATTTAACTAAGTTTAGGTAGAAACTACCAAAATATTTGCAGATGACGTATGCCTCCAAGTGTACGAAAAGAAATTTTATACTTATTTGGTATTTTTATCTATATATAAGTAGAAATATTGTAAGAAGTCACCAACACAACTAAAACATATACCTAATTCACATGAAAGATTGAAAATAAATAAATGTCGGTGACAAAAATATATGTAATGTAATTGTGGTGAATATACATTTCACGCTTGTTGAAATTAATGCGAAGAAAATTTTGTCGTGCATGTTAACAGTTCTTAGAAAAATAACAATGCCCTTCCAAAATATTCTCTAATTAAAAAAATATAAGAAAAAAATATGATCGTGTAAAAAAATAATAATAATATTATGAGCTAAAACTATGTTACGTTTGTTGTGTATCACTTTAGAAAATCAATAATGTTTCGTTATTCGGTATTTTCATTCGTATGTTTTAGTTATGGTTATTTTAAAAATTTAAAATTCGGAATCGTACTTCAATTACGTTAAGAAAATATGGCGTATTTTTCGAATTCGACCTAAAAGTTATTATGACTAAGGAAATCTACGTATTTTACAAAGTTGAATTAACTTCAATTTCACGACATATTAGTTAACTTTACCTATTTAAAGATATAATAACTTATAGGTTTTATAAAAAATTTACCTATAGGTAAATATAACAAGGTAAAAATAACGTTTTCTCATTTGCTGTCACTTTTGTTACAAAATCACGGCTTAAAATCACTGATATTTAAAAGTCACAGGAACAAGTATCGCTGATACTTGAAAATCACGACATCGCCCATCTTTACTCTTTGGACGCGCCCTGTCACCTGTCAGTCTGGTGCGTTTTCGAACGCAGGAGTGCGTTTAGAAACCTCGCACGGCGCGTCTGACCACAGACATTAGAATAGGGCCAGACGCGCCGTGCGAGGTTTCTGAACGCACTCCAGGTTTCAATTTCTGCTTAAATGTATATTTATATTGGTTTTCTATATTTACATGAATAACTTACCATCACTTGACCATTTCCAGGGAATTGTACGATTGATTCCTCTCCATGTTTTATTTCCTTATCGCCCAAAGGTCGAACTCTATAAAACGTAACACGAGATGTGTAATAGATAAAAAATCGATAAGTTCAAGTATCATTTAAAAATGAATTAGTTAATTGTAAGTCAATTAAAAAGATGACGTATGTATTTTAATTTATCGATTTTGGATTCGACTCACCTTAGAACTACGTTAATATTGTCATCGATTTCGCTATATTTCGTGATTATTCTTTGAAGATTGTTGTCTTCGTCTAATCGTTCTATGCTGCCGTTTCTGGAAGAGTATACAATTAAAAAACGATGAAAAATCAAGGATGAAATGGTGCACATTATGAATGAGAGGAAATATATTAATTATTACAAAAATGAGTCGAGAACCATAATATATGATAATAGAATTACCTAAATACTTAAAATTTATATATATGGCAACGTCGCAATACATGGAGTAGAATAGATGGTAAGTATTTTTACATTTCCACTGACATCGAACGATTTTGTAGCCAGAAAAGCCACAGAAAATAGGCAACGTCGCATTTTGGCACGAAGCTTTCATCGAGACATCCCTTAGACAGATAAAAGCAACATCAAGACGGCGGCTAGACATATGTCAACGGGTGGGGAGGGGGCGAAAGAAAGCATAGCCGATTGGCGCCACTTGTCACAGCAAGGTACCCAAGCATTTAGAAGTAAACGGTATAGAAATTGGCATCGAGGAGAGCGTTGTCAATAATGTATAGCTTGTCATCGGAGAGAGTGTTGTCAACTGTCAAAATGATACAAAAAGGCAGACAAGATAGAATGACATAAACGGACATTTACCTTAAAAATCCCAAACATCTCGTTCATTAAATATTAACTAAATAATGTACGTTTAATTTTTATCTTTAACTTCATTACACAATTTTTATCGATAAATCTCTACGATAATAAGATTCTGAAATTTTGTTGAGTATTTAAAAGTGGTTTTATAATTCTTAAGATATTGTAATGTTAATATACAATTTATACGCAATGCAAACTCAAGATGAAATTACATTGCTCAAATAACAAGAACTAAACCTATCACGAAGACTTCTGAAGACCTCTGAAGACATCTGAAGATATCTCAAGTCATCTGAAGATATCTGAAGATATCTGAAGATTTCTGAAGATTTCTGAAGATTTCTGAAGATTTCTGAAGATTTCTGAAGATTTCTGAAGATTTCTGAAGATATCTGAAGATATCTGAAGATATCTGAAGATATCTGAAGATATCTGAAGATATCTGAAGATATCTGAAGATATCTGAATATATCTGAAGATATCTGAAGATATCTGAAGATATCTGAAGATATCTAAAGACATATAAAGGCATTTAAAGACATTTAAAAACAACTGAAGACATCTAAAGACACTTGAAGACATCTGAAGATATTTGAAGACATCTGAAGACCTCTGAAGACCTCTAAAGACCTCTGAAGACCTCTGAAGACCTAGGAGGCCTCTAAAGGCACCTGAAGACTTCTGAAGACACCTGAAGCCATCTGAAGACCGTAGAAACCCTATTTATAGGTGCGTCACATCAAAAATACTTCAGATATTTTCAAGATGTCGATGTATGCATCACGCGTATCAGAACTTAGACGTATTATTCGAAAAAAGTACAACGCCTTGAAGAAAATGAAAGCTGATAAAAAAGAATTGAACTTTTTTAATCCTGTGATAGAACCTTTCAAATAAATAGCTGAAATAAACGAATCAGAGAAAAGTGAATATCTAGAAAAATACGCTGAAAAATGTATCGATTATGTTAACTGTTATGGACCCGTTTACTTCAGCTATTTCTTTCAAAGGTTTTCAGATGTCTTCAGAGGTCTTCAGAGGTCTTCAGAAGTCTTCAGAGGTCTTCAGAGGTCTTCAGAGGTCTTCAGGAGTCTTCAGAAATCTTCAAAGGTCTTCAGAACTCTTAAGAGGTCTTCAGATATATGTTCGTTATTATTGATGGATTCATAAATTTATATGATAGGTTTAGAACCATTTTATTATTCACACCAAGGTGATTCCATAAATGTTTTTTGCCAAATATGAGACAGAACAGTAAACATTATTCAATTTTGTTATTTTAAGATCTACTGTTTGAATATTGATTTACTGACTCTAAACTTGATTCAATAAAAAAATTGCTATTTTTGAATATTGTTTTGGAAAAAAATCAGCTTAATGGACGACTAGGAAATAATTAGCGAATACTGTTGGGAAATGTTCGACTATTTAAGGAACATTAAGTGAGAGTTAAACTCGTACGTATTTATATAGGTACCTAAAAAGCCTTTTTGTAAACAGATTAGTTATTGATAACATCGAGTAAATATTTAATAAACCGCCACTACCGTTAGAGGCGATTTCGTTAAATTTAACCGATAATTTTCTTTTCAACCCCTTGGACGTTTAATCAACGGTTGTTGGATTATTTATTTAATTGATTCATGAATTTTACAAGTTTTCGTGTAAGCCAAAACATTCGGGTTTTATAATCTCTTACGAAGATCCAATAAACAATGATAATTGTTTTTATATAGATTTTACAGAGTGAAACAAGTGGAGAAATAAAAAAACTAAAGTAGGAGTACCACAAGGGAGCGTTCTTGATCCTGTCTTTCATCTGCTATACATGCGTATGCTCAGATGTCAAAATAAGAACCTTGCTAATAGTGACTGACCATAAGTATGTTGTGTTAAGTAGATGGACAACACTAATAATGCAAATCCACATATAAACTTATTTATTATTTCACAAAAGTCCATAAGAACACTAAGTCGAAAATACGACATGCCACATCTCGAGCCGGTAACAAGAGTTAGGTTAGGACCATGTGTCTCTACCAATGAACTGGAGTGGGGTAGAAGGCTTGTCAATACGCTTGAGATGCGACTCTAGGTGAGTTCGGTCTACGCACTCTTTTCACTATATTCACTCCTAAAGTACCTAAGGCGTTCGGGTACGGAAGGAGTTAAAATAAAAGTTCCTCTTTGACCGTTCGGAGATAGTGGAGTGGAGTGTGGATCGGGCATGCGCATAAGGTGATTTAAATCGATAATAAGATAATTGTGATTAATTCTTAAGTAAAAATGCTTTTTATTTGATTCCCGTGCATACAATTAATATGGTAGAAACTTGTACGGTTGTTACTGATAAGTACGATTAGGTTTTTAAGTATTAGTATTGAACATTGACAACTGACATTGAACATTGACAACTGACATTGAACTCTGAGAGTAAAAGGAGTAAAACCATATGCGCACTCCGTTTACGCCTATTTACTTCACTCCACTCTGGAGTGGGCAGCCCGAACTCGCCTTCTATGGACGAAGACAGGTTATTTTTCATCTCACTCGGGAGTATTTATAACAACCATTTTCTATTTCACTTTGTTATTTTCTGATCCACCAGCTTGTGGATTGAACAATAACAATGTGAAACAGAAAATGGTTATTATAAATACTCCCGAGTGAGATGAGAAATAAAAATGGCTGCGCCCATAGAGTCGCATCTTGTTCTATTGATACAATATGCACATTGGCTTTCTACCTCACTCCAGTTCATTGGTCTCTACTACAGTGCCGGATCGCAGTGGCTAAGGTGACACAACAAAGTGAACCTGCAATAATAACTCTCTATTAATTAAGAAAATGGTCATTGTCGTTAGAACTCAAGTCATGTATAGAACTCAAGTCATGTAACGTTAATAATTAAAAAAAGTTATAAGGAGAATCCGAAGTTTTATTAGCAATCAATGAAGACTATTAAAACTTATAACAACTCAATTTTTTGGCATTATTATTGCTGTACAGTACAAAAACACTAGGTATTTATATTGAACGTGTTTAAAAATCAAAATAGCTATTATAGCATGCAAGAAAGGTCACAAATAAGGGTTTCTACTTGCTGCGGTCATAATAATCCATAAAACAACAAAGTGATATGAACTTGACATGTGAAATTGTATGATGTGTGGCATAGGCGCGCCAGGTCATTCTTAAGGTAGGTATTAAAAAAATGATTGAATTAAATGTCGTATGTTTATCTGCTGGTAGATTAGATTAAATTAAATCATGGAAAATGAAAATAAACTGATGATAAAAAAAATTAAGTTATAGGCTTTTATAAAATACATTAAAAAATAAAGAATATTTTTTTATAATTCTGATATCATATCAATAAATTATTTTTCATAATACTGCATTGTCATCGGACCCTTGTAAGTATACCAAATTTCATTGAAATCGGTTTACGGGAATTTTCTCAAAAACGCGCTGCAAGATTTAACTGATAGTTGACAAGATTAAGAGGCGGCAGGCGGGATTTATCATTTTTATTTCTAAATAATATTATATATTTAAATATTAAGGCAAAATCTAGTTGAATTTAATTCAACATGACAAAACCACTCAACCACCGCCTTTCAAGAATTGACAGTTTTTCGGCTCGTGGCAACACGACTGTACAGGAAACAACAATTTTGAAACCAAGCGAAACAAGATCTAACAGCCCTTTTTAACTGCATATAAAAAGAAAGTAGACTTCATTATTTGCCGCTAGACTTCGGCTGGTGGAAATAAAATAGTTTGTTTAAATTGTTATGCAAAAAAGCTTTAAAAAAGTGCTTGTGCAAATTGTCCAGTGCGTTTGGCTTCTGTGAAGGTAAGTATTTTAATTTTTGTTTTCATTTTTAAAAACTAAAAAAATCCATCAGACATAAGCCCAAAAAGGGTGGGGGGGCAGATTTCAAAAATTAGAGTTTAGATCAAAACATGGCTTGTGTGGTATCAAATGAAAGGTAATTGAGTCTGGAGTTGAATAAAATGCATTTTATTTTTTTAAGCCAGTGGCGTACAAGGCGGGTTTTCAAAAATTAGAGTTTATATCCAAAAATGGCTTGTGTGGTATAAAATGAAAGTTGATTGAACCTGCAGTTGAATGAAATTTATTTTTTTAAGCCAGTGGTGCACAAGGGGGGATTTCAGAAATTATAATTTAAATAAAATCATGGCTTTTTTTGATATCAGTATTATCTTTTATTTTAATTAATTTGTTCCAGAAACCAAAATGTCCAATGCTAAGAGAAAACCCTCTGGGAGCGAATATAAAAAGCGGAGATTGAACAAGCAAACACAGCTTCAAAAACAGTCAGATGCGCTGCAGAACTTCTTGAAAGAAGGTAGTTTCAACGCTCCCACAACCGACCAACATCTGATTTTCCGGATATGGACCCCCTTTGGACGCAACCGTCAGCATTACTGAGCTGGGTAAGTCATCTTAAAGTCCAAAGTATCTCTTCTGACCCAGGATTATGGCCCAAAATCATGCGTGCAGCAGATAGAATTTTTTTGGTTAAACGTTGTCCAGCTGCACCTTTGTATAATTTTGATTTTTCTTTTGATGATCAGCATAGAAGATTAGAAGAAACATTACAAGAAAAGGCTTAGAAATGGAGAAGAGGTTTTAAGAGAATGGATGGTATATTCCGTATTTCAAAACGCTTTGTACTGTTTTCCATGTCGACTTTTTGCTGCACCATCTAGCTTGAGCGCTCTTGGCAATCGGGGATTTAAAGACTGAAAGCATTTAGGGGACTCTTTAGCACATCATGAAAATGCTAAAACTCACATAGATTATTTGAAATCATGGCTTGAATTGAAGCAAAGATTGAAAATAGGTGAAACAATAGATGCAGTTTCTCAGAGACAATGAGTCTCTGAGAAACTAAGTGACAAATTAGACTTGAAATCACTGGTTCGTGAGTTAGAAAATTAGAAAAAGGGCATTTTAATTACTTTGGTTAGTTAGAATTTATTTATAATATGGAATATTAGTTTAGTTAGCATTACTACATTTTCATTTTTGTTATTTTGCCCTAAGTGCTAAATTGCTTATCTTGTTATCTGATGATTGAGTTTTTAATAAAACGGTTAATTAATTTTTTTTTTCAATGTTTTCTTGACTTTCTGATATGGTCGCATGATATTTACTTAAAAAAACGGGGGGGGGGGGGGGGGGAGCAAAATTAAGGTGTTGCCAGAGGAGCGCCAAACAGAATTCTACAACATAGATTATTTCCTTTGCATCGAAAGTGTATAAGCTTCACGCATCTGTGGAGCCTAATGTTCTCCATTGTTTTGTCGAACACAGTGTTGTTTGCCAGTTTAAACTGTTTTTTTTTTTTGCAAAAGAACTGGTAGCTGCAGTCTTCGAGCGAGGGTTCAATTTGATGCACATTGTTTTGAAATGTTTAAAAAATATATATTATTAAAAATGGGGAATCAAGGGAAGTCGAAATTAAAAAAAAAATAGACAGAAGTGCGCTCTAAATAGGGAAAACTTCCCTCCAAATTTTTGCAATTTATGAAAAATAGTAACCCCGCGAAAGTTATTAAAAATGCAATTTGAAAGTTTATAATATACAGAAAAATGTTTCCTCACCCTATATCATTATTTAACAAGTAACATTTTAAATTTCCAAATAAACTACGCCAATGGGGGGAATCAAAAAACATTACACGATATGATATTATATGAACACGATACCCAATTGTGGTCAGTTTTAAACGAGCATCGATTTTTCTAAACGTTCCGTTTATATCCAGCCTTGGCGAGATCCTGGAATGGATATAATAGAGATTGTTATATATATATTTGCCAATACTGGATCAATTTCAATTTTCTAATCTATTATTAATTTCAAGTCCATTATTAGATATGAATTCTTTGATACGTAGTCAATTCATTAAAAAATAGAACACTTTAGGAAAAGTAGCTATGGCAATTCCCCAGATTTGGAGATTTTTATCCAATTGATGATATGCGTATTGAAAACGCCCTGCCTTGTAATTGTGGCATCATCGGTGAAAAGAAGAAATATGAGTTTCTTTGGTTTTTTCTAACATTCTAACATTTCCTGACAAAACTCCATTCAGGTTGGTAAATCACCAGGAAGAAGTTCTTGAACTTTTCGAAAGTGAAAACCATGCAAAAACTATTCACTACATTACTCCAATTATTGTAGATTGCAAATTACTTGACCTTAAAACTATTTGTATCGTACTGACCGTTGGATTTTGCTCAACAATATTTTGAATGTGTTCTTCGGCTTCTACTGCTCTGGCAATTCGCAGTCGCCCTGTATTATTTTTTAGTTCCAGTTTTACTATTTCCCTAATATCCTTGCACTGTTTATAATTAAAAAATATCAGTATAGTTACTTACTCGCTACCCCTTGATCTCGGCAAAGCCTCAACGATCCTCGCCGGACTGCTTCCTCTAGATTTCACCTCCTTAACATCGGTCCCGTTCTCTTTCCTTCTATCGGGACTCTGTCCTTTCCTAAAACTCGATTTCACCGGAGATTTCCGGTTGGTGCCCGGAGAAGCGTTGGTTTTCGGCTTTTGGTTCCCGTTACGCACCGGACTTGAACCGCGCGACGTCGATGGAGTTTTGAAGGAGTTTTCTCGCCTGGCCACCATTGTTTGGGAGTTGGAACGTTTCATGGAGGAGGGGAGGCGTCGATCCGCATTTTTCTGAAAAATTTAAATTTGCGAAAATTGCATTAAAGTTCTTTATAGACAAACTTAGTAAAATTAATTATTACATCTATTCTATTAGATGCGTCGTTAGCAACTTTATCGTATAATTACATAACAATACGAAAAAAAAAAAATCAAATCGCCCCATTATATGGAGAACATAAAACTCCAATCGTCAAAATGCCTTATGTATCATACTCAACTGACCAAAATAATATCTTTACCTTCTTATTTTACGTATTTACAAAGATAATATAAATAGAATAAATTTAATGACTATTTGAGTACGTAGGTAGGTAAATATATCGATAATCTTTTAGGGGTGGTAATATTTTATAGGTCAAAGACGGACTGCGCCAATGAGATCCTTTGTTAGCAGCATTACAGGAAATTGTCCATTTTCACAAAAGTATTAAAAAAAAAACTGAAAAAAAAGGAAACGAGATTTTTGAATCTTTTGAAAAAAGCGTCGACAAGTGATGTGAATGAAAAATGGATATGCCCTTCCAGATAGGGACTATGGTAACATGACGAACCTAGCTTTGATATGGATAAAGAGAAGAAGAATTCCTAAATACGTAAACACGTAAGAGAATGATAAAATTGAAAATCTTGCAAAGGAACACATCTACTTTATTCTATGGTTAGAAGAAAGGTAGAAATGGGTTACCGCATCAAATTTTTGGAACAAATTTTAAACTTAAATCAAGTACTAGCAGATTATACAACAAAATTTAAAGATAATTACGAGACCATGGAGTTATAAAATATTCAAAACGGTATCACTGGGCGATTTACAAGAAAACTAAAAAATTTAACACAATGCAACAACACAAATGAGATGTAGGTCAACTAAACGAAAAAGTAAAAAATAAATATGCAGAGAAAGTAAAATCAATATTAAGTAATAAACGTGAAGAACATGAAACAGAAGCAGAATGGAAAGTCATTATAGAAAGCGTAGCAGTAGCAACAGAAGAAAACATTGGGGTTGTACAGAAAAAACCAAGAAAAGAATGGTACAACAAAAAATGTACAAGCAAAAATCAAGTGGCTAAAAACAAATAAATTAACAGATAAAATGGCCTATGAAGAACTAAGAAAACAAATCAAAAAACCTGGTTAGAACAAGTATAAGAAGGTAGAAAATAAAATAATTGAACAAGAAGGAAGTGAGAAAAACACAAAAGACTTTTACAAGAAAATTAAAGAACAGAACAAAATCTAAAAAGGCAAAACAAAGGGAATAAAAAAATAAAAAAGGAAAAGTGATACTAGAAGATAAAGATGGAAAATGCAAGCAGGTGTGGATAGATTACTTTAAAGATCTCTTAATCGATCCAGAGATGGGATAATCTGAGATGATAGAGAAAGAGGAAATAGAAAAAAGGGACATAATTGTTGACCCAACAAGAGAAGAGATAGAAAAGGTCATTGGGAAAAATGCAAATGGAAAATAACCAGGAAACAATGGAATTAACATCGAACTCATTAAATATGGAGGCAACGAATTGAAAGAAAGACTGTTATCTCTAATTCAGAAAATATAGAAAGAGGAAAAATGCCGAGAGGTGATAACAATCCATAAAAATCTGATGTGTCCAACACATGACTTTCCTATCTAGGTATTACAGGCTTTTTCCGGTTATTTTGTACAACCTATTGCAGCATCTCTATAAATGTTTAGAGGATAAACTAAATATATACATTGTCCACATACATCTACCGCGAAACATTTTTCTATAGATATTCATTGAAAATGAAAATACTGAAAAATTTAAATTTGGCACTTTTCCTACAATTTTTCCATTACGGTCCATTTTAAAAAAATCATGTATAAACAAATATTATAGAGATCGATATCGCAAACAACTTTTATTTCAACAATTTTCATAAAAATCAGAATTTTGCACATTTTGTCAAATTTTCCGAATACGGACCATTTCAGGAAATTTTTACATAAAGCAAAAATTATAGATAATAATATTAGAAGTAACTTTTATTTGAACAATTTTTTTCTTCAAACATAAATAACAGATATATTCCATAAAATATAAAAACGGCCTCCCATAAAGTACCCCCCCAGATGTTCCGACTTTGTCCAAAATCTAATCATTTCACGTCAGGCCGAAATAAAACTTAAGTTTAAAATTTAATGTTTTTTCTTTAACCATTTTTGAGTTTTCTTCAAATTTCGAAATTTACACATTTTCTCAAATATCTCGAATACGGTCCATTTTAGAGAAATTATCTATAGGATAAAAATTATAGAGAATTATATTACAAACAACTTTTGTTTGAACAATTTTTATAAAAAAAAAATATTTTTTTACATTTTGTCAAATTTCGCGAATACGGACCATTTTAGGAAAATTTTGTATATAACAAAAATTATAGATAATAAAATAAGAAGTAACTTTCATTTGAAGAATTTTCTTCCCCAAACGTAAATAACAGATATATTCCATAAAATATAAAAATGACCACCTATAAAGTACCCCCCCAGATGTTCCGACTCTGCCCAAAATCTAATCAGCTCATTAGATGTTGGAACAAAGCTTAAGTTTGAAATTTGGTGTTTTTCCGTCTATCGATTCATGAGTTATGCGTTATACAGACACACACACACACACACACACACACACACACACACACACACACACACACACAGACACACACACACACACACACACACACACACACACACACACACAGACACACACACACACACACAGACATCATCGCGAAAATAGTCAAAACGGATTCAGGGGACCTCAAAACGTAAAAATCCGTCGAAAACTCGAGGTCGAAAAAAATCATGATTCCTATACTTTCCTTATATCTGTATACAGATAGGAAAGTAAAAAGGTAACCAACAAATATGTCAAAATTACGGAGGAATAACACTTCTTAATACAGCTTACAAAATACTTTCAACAATAATAAAAAGACGGCTAGTACAAATAACAAAAAAGGTGATAGGACAGTACCAATATGGATTCACACAGGAGAAATCAACTAAAGATGTAATCAATACAATAAAGCAAATAATGGAAAAGGCGTATGAACACAAAATAGAATTATAAATGCTTTTTATTTATTTTAAACAAGCCATTGACTCAATGAAAAGAACAAAACTGCAGTTGGTCCTACAAAAATTAGAAATATAAAGTTAAGGCGGTTAATAACAATGACGAAACAAGAAACAAAAATTAACATTAAAACACAAAAAGTAGCGACAGTAGAATTCATAATTAATAAAGGAGCCAAGAAGGTAAATTCTCTCTCAGCCACTCTGTTCAACCTCTCATTAGAGTATGTGACGAGGAAAATTAATAAAGGAATACTGAGAACAGGGGGAGGACAAGTCATCACATATGCAGATGACAGTGATAATTTCAAAAACTATGAAAATCATGGTAAACGAAATTGTAAACGAAGGAAAAATTATAAAACTATGGCTAAACCAAGAAAAAACATAAATCATGATATTAGAAAACAAAGCAGCATTAAAATGAGAAAACATGAATTCGAAGCAGTGCAAAAATTTAAATACTTGGGAATCACAATAGCTAAAACAGGAGACAGAAAACTGGAAATATCAGAAAAAATAGTCACTATAACTAAAGCTTTTTACGCAAATACAAAATTACTTAAAAGCAAATTACTCACAAAAATGAAAATATACAACACAATCAGACCAATACTACTGTACATAGCAAAAACAATGAGTATGACAAAAAAAGTGAAAGAATTATGGAAAGAAAAATTATAAGAGCAATATTAGGACCAATAAAAATCGCAGAAGAAGAATATAGAATAAGAACAAATGAGGAAATTAAACAAAAGATAGAAGAAGATATAATAACAAAAATAAAACAATCCAGCATTAGCTGGTTGGGACACGTTTACATAGTCTTTTTTAGAATAATTACAAAGTCTACAAGATATGCTGATCAAAACTATGCAGCTTGCAAATATATTTTTATTTTTAAATGACTGAAGACACTACATATTCTACTGAAATAAGGTGGATAATTTAAATTAACAGCTCCTTTTTATTATTTGCATACATTGACACATCCATAGATGGATACTGTAAGCTTTTTCATTTTTGTCTGTCTATAAATGAAAATAATTGTAGGTCTTTCTCGTCTGCAGATAAATAAGCTTTTTAAGAAAATACATGTACAATATAGCCCGCAATATATTATATTATACATTTTTTGTAAATCTCCATAGCGTGGGGCGTGGTAAATAATTACGATCATAATCAGTATCGTCTAACAACCAAACTTATATGGAATCATCTATTATTTTTCATAATTTTTGAGATGTATGAACACTTATTCCTTACCAAATACTTTTAGTGACAAATAACCCATATGGAAATAAAAATAATTAATCAGTTGACAAAATAACCTCAACGGTATTTTTTTTTTATTTCTAAAACTAAAATGAGATTAAAATTTAAATGATACATCAATAAGCTGTCCGACATTTCCTGCATTGTTTTGACGAGCTCCAACTCTTCTTTTGAGCTGGTCCTACAAGTGTTCGATCGGATTTAGGTCTGGTGAACATACAGGCTAGTTAAAATCTGACACCTTTCGTTTCAAAGCCTAACGATGGATTCTAACACTAAATCAACATAACTCCGACCGGTTAAAGTTTGTTGAAGTGGTAATAATGGAGTTTTTGCTCCCAGCATAATACCTCCCCAAATTATTACAGTTCCTCCTTGATATCTTGAAACAGATCTGGCAGCTTGGAGCTTTGCTCAGGTTCTGAGAACCCAAATTCGATGATCATCTGATCTTAGGTCAATTCTGGTCTCATCCGAAAAAAAAAACATTTTGCCAAGTCTCAATTGTCCAGTTTTAGTATTGAAGCACCAATTTAGCCGATCAATTTTATTTTATCGTAACTTTCTTCTACTGTACAACCCTCGAGTGCAAAGTCTTTTTCTTATGATTTCAACTGAAACGTTCACACCTGTAGCTTCCAGAAG